TAAAGGAAAAGCAGTTACATCTCATTCATTGATAAATCCATTTGAAGAAGCTTTAGAATAGCAATGGAATACTGTGAGAGAGTTTACAAGATGAGTTGGTTGTGTTGACGTAATCTGTAATCTGTAACAGCCTGTAATTGTAGCCATTACTCATAGTTCATGTTGCCTTTACCGGTGCTTTCACATACCTGCAACCAAACCCAATCATAATCCATCTAACTCTCAATGCAACACCCATCCCCAGGGTGCAGTCCTAAACTTACCCTGATGGTGATCCTGCGTGTCGCCCTCCTCCTTGCAAGTGGTCCTATGTATGTGTAGCTTCCCCTGGTGATGGTCCTAATATGAACTAGGCTCTCCTTTTGAATGCATATATCTTCCCTGGCTGTAGCCCAACCTTATCATACATGTATGAGCTTCCCCTGGTGGTGGTCCTACAAATATTCAAATACTCTTTACACTGGTGATTATGGTCATATATATATGTATAGCTCTCACTGGTGGTGGCCCGACATAAATAAGCTTTCCCCGCGTATAATTATTGCCTGGTGCTCAAAGGAAGTATTTAGCATCCAATATGTCGTCTTAAATGTGGTTTTTTTATGACATTTGGTTGGGTAACTGATTGAAAACACACAGTTCTAATAGAATTGTTATTTTTTTAATTTATTTTTTGGACATAAGTATAGGCAAATAAGACAATAATAGGAAACACCATCTGCCAATGTTCAAGACATTCTGTCATAATGTCATCTTCAGGTTAAAAGTTCATTCCCCATTGTTACGTGGTTAGGACCACTACTTACTTGCATTGCTTTATGTATAATGTTTTGACTTTGCAGCCCTGTTTTCGTTCCGGTGGCATATATTTTGTCATTGTCCGTCATTTCTGCTGGGGATGCTTATTTATTTTCCATATCAAGTCATCCATAACAGTCTTCATTATTAGTTCTGATGATATATCTTATTGCTCTTACCTGTACGTTTTAATATATGTATTACGTAACTCTAATGCATTTACTGTGCATGAACAGCATTCCTAACCTATTCTTCCTGTATTTGAACTTTCAGACCACTTGGGGTACATGCGCCTAAAGTTCCCACTCATAAAGTTTAAGTAGGAACCAACTAAGTCCTCAGGTACATGTGTCTGCACGCTGAGCCTTTAGTTTGGGTTTTTTGTTATCTTTAATTAAATCTAACGATTTACAAACTCTTCTTCTCTAGATTATTTTGCATTAATTTTCTAATAGTTATTTTGTTCATGTCTGACACTGAGACCTCAAATCCTAATCTCATGACGGCAATTTGGATTCAACCAATGGGAAGTAATATAATCAATGGAGATTTTAAACCGAGAAACGTTTCCCATTGGTTGAATTGAAATAAGTCGTCAACAGATCTAGACAGAGATGAGATCCTAGAACGTTTTGAGTGATTTTTAGTTTCAAATTAAATGAAAAGGTTTATTTTAATTTTTCATTCACTACTATTCGAGTGAGCTTCTTGTTGATTCTCCTTTTCCCCCTCAAGTTTACAGCTGCTTCTTCTTGTCACATACGATGTCAATATTTTGTATTTTCATTCACAATTAATATTCCATACAAATTTTGTTTTGTTTTCATAGAGATATTGTTTCTTAAGTATCGTTGTACATTGAGCATTTAAAAGCACTCATTTGCATGCAGAACTTTTCCCCCTCAAGTTTACAGCTGCTTCTTCTTGTCACATACGATGTCAATATTTTGTATTTTCATTCACAATTAATATTCCATACAAATTTTGTTTTGTTTTCATAGAGATATTGTTTCTTAAGTATCGTTGTACATTGAGCATTTAAAAGCACTCAGTTGCATGCAGAACCACACAGAGTATAATTAACTGGACTATAGTCAAATTACACGAAGGGCATTTCCTATAGAAATGCATTTTTGTTTACGGAGTTGTAAGAAAAATCATAACAAATATTGTTTATATATATATATTTATTGTTGTTTACTTTATAATGCAAATATGAAGGCCTTTAATTTGTTTCCATACTTAACCAATGAATGTTTTAGAAAATGTTATGGTCCTATAACACACATTGCTATTGATGACAAACTTAATAAAACCCGGTAGGCTTTCCATACACTGGATTTTCACCTGCATATCATCTGAATTCGTGAAGTGTTATGTTGTGATAATGCCATATACAGATAAAATTACTTCCTGGTATAAGATAAAAATGTTAACCACCGGATAACTCTTACAATGGCTGTATACATCAATGTTAGTGTTGAAATATTGAATATATATATCAATTTCTTTTGAGATGATAAAATCACATTTGATTTTTTTTTGCAAACCATTTCATTTTCCTCTGTTTTAGATGTCATTTGCCATGCTTTATTATAGACAAACGTAGGAGTCGTACATACCACTTTTGCATGTGTTGTCATTACTATTTTTTATTTTATTCAAAGACATACAGAAATAAACCTGTAGTAGCTTTATTTGATGAGTAGTCAATAATTTTCAAAAATGAATGATAACTTTGTCTTCAGCCGAGCCATCCTGAATTTTTAACATTGTCAATAGACTACAAAAGAAAGAACATCCCTAGCAAAGCTTTCTACTATATCATTGTGTATCCTTATGGCCTGCATGCTTACTACCTTTGATGTAAAAATAACATCTGTATATTATTTATAACTACTGCTTAATTAAAAAGTTGCTTTTGATAAAATTACCTGTGCCATGTGTAGAAGAATAGCCAACTGTATTGATGAAATGTTGCCATTCATTCCTGTCTTGATATCTGACTGACAGTGACTGGCAACGATACTGAAATTATGAAAAAGTGACAAGCTTACATGAAAATGCTTTCTTTAGATACCGAAACGATCAAATGGCTGTTTTTCTCATTTGCATAACTTGTACCTAATCAGAGATAACGTGACATTCTGCACTATCATTGTGTTTGATATACAATATTCCTGATATACAATATTCCTCTTGTGTTCTTTCTCGTATAAACTCGTCAGTATTTTGTATCATCTCCCTCAAGTGATTGTAGTGTTAGGTGTACAATTGATGTATCGCATGGTACAACCTACTTCTTCATTGATAAACTTGTAATTCATCATGCACTTGAATGGTTTGTTTGACACGGAAGGTACATGTTATAGAGTACTGTTTGATCTATAATAGTGATGCAGAGCCAACCCCTCATCACAATCCTACTATCGATACATTATAATTGGGGCATGCTTCGTTGTTTATATGTGTGTTACTTGTCCAGTTGTTGTACTTTGAATTGGACTCACGTAGCTTGTGAAACTAGATTAGTCCCCCCCCCCTCCTCCCCCCAACTTGTGACAGGGATAGTTTTGACCGCTATCTTCTGTATGCTATCAAGTGGAAATGCCTCCTCCTCCTCCTCCCCGACTCCCTTACACCTGGCATGAACTGAAAAACAGCAACCCCCTCCCAGAAATGTCCATACCTTGTAAGATCCAGTCACTGTTAGACTAACCTAAATGTAGTAATGTATGCACTAATTCAGTAGATAGAACTAACACAGTAGATTAGAAGTAAAGTTGTGGTAGAGCTAACAGTGTAGTCCATTAATGACTGCACATTATGTATTTATCATACAGCTGCAGCAGCCAGAATACTACAGCAGTGTGTTTCAGGATAAAAATATGCTTATACTTATACTGCTTCCCAGCTGTCCTTTTTGAGTATTGCAAAATGAATTACAAGCATGTTTATTTACCTATTTGAGTACATACTACTTTCTCTAGAATTGCTGTCTTATTACTGATATTGATTCTAAGAGTATACCATATAAACCTCATTGACATGCATTTGTACGATTGTTTTATAACATTACTTTGAATTTCCTGAAGAATGAAATTATAACGTTGAACAAAAATATGTATTTGCCATTTAACAAAATCTTCTTATCTGCGACTCTGGATCATTATACGAAGATCATGGGCTTATCTTATAACTACTCGCATTAAACTTCACCTAACTTATACCAAACCACGCTATATTTTACTTACCAAACCAGGTTTAAAATTACCGATGTAGTGCTTGTAATGTGAAGTTACTATCATAATAATGTTGAAATAGTGATGCCTTATCAATTCACTGTGGTTTTTAATTAATTATTTACATCACGATGCACCACGCAATTGTCATCATGCTTGAGTATCACCATAGCACAGCAAGAATTAACATTGATAATGTATTAGAGACTTAGATATTAAATAATATTGATTCATATTGATGGCCACATAATTTCTTTTTGATCATATAACAGTTTTTACGAATAATCATATTAATGTTAAATCCTAATCACATATTAATTTTATATAGACCAGTAAGTGTGTTTGATGATGCTAGTTGATAAGTACACGAGTTATGATAATTACATTTCCCATTGTTAACGACGATTAGCACACAAAGTCTCACAATCGTCATCAGTTTGTCCATTTATTTTATGGAAAAGATTTTAATTATATAGTATGTGTACTGTAAACGAGGAAATATTCGCGTTGTGACTCTTCACTAATTTTGGTGTGGACATTTTTGCTTTGGCAATAGTTTTGAAATCTATATATTCTATTCACACCTTTCATCTGTATTGACATTTTCCAAACCACGAAAATTTTCGACTTTTACGGTATGTTAATTAAACAAAATCAGTTAATTGACACCAAACAATTTTGTCTGTTGAGACAGGAATGTAAATTGCATTCAAAATTGTTGTTTTCTTATTGTAGACAAACTAATACCTCATAAAATAACACATTTTTTCCCCAATGATTAGAACTCCTCAAATTTGATGAAGATTGTGAAACAAGTGTGTAATATTTATATAAAAAGAAGGTTTAACTGAGCTAACAAAATTTGCAGTACTAACATTGTATACTACCATTCGTGCATGTGTGTTCATTTATACTCATTTGTGTTACTAATACTGGATCTTCGCCCTCTTTTGTTAACAGGTATAAGTCCTTTAATTGATGGTGCCTGGGCTCGAACTTGTACCGAGTGTGGGAGCGGCAATAATGTTCGTCTTGATTTCAACAAACCCCACTGTAAATGTCGCCAAGACAGTGTGTGTATTCCGCCAGGGTGTCAGCGTGCTCTTAGTGCTCGAGGTTTCTTCCCGCGCCCGCGTAGTAGCTACGGATCTCCTAGACCCCCGAGTGCTTGCTCGAATACAGTGAATGCAAAGAGTAGTGGTTCTTCCACAAGCTTGGCCATAGTTGCTACCGCTGCAAAGACAAACAGCAAAATACTCCTCAAATTTTCTGATGGAGGAATTCAGAGGCCTGTGTCACCAGTGAACTCTCAGCCCAACCCTCTACCTAAAATTGTCCGACGTTACATTGGGCGTAGGGTAGCTCAGTGTCACGAAATTCCCTCGAGTGCCAATCACATGTCTGCTGTGTTTTTGGACACTACTCAGTTACATAATCCGCTTTCTATAGTGTCCCACGGTGTGTACAACACATCGAGGTAGTCCAAACAGTCATCAATTATATATACATATAATAGGATGTTTATTTTTCGTTAAAAAATATATTTTGCACAGTTTTTTAGTAGGTAAAGAAAACCACATAAATAACTAATAACTAATCTCTCTTCATTAATTTGCACCAAGCTACTAAAATCATTCATCTCCATTGCCACACTTAAAATGTCATATGATAATATATGGAAGATGCTAGTTAAAAAAAACAGTAGAAAAATTCCAAATTGTTTACTTAGAAAATAACGCTATTTGATTTATATATTGCATTTAAAGTAAAGAGAAATGCCAAGAAAATACACGTCATGGATAATGATAACAAAAAAGTTATTAGTACCACTTCCCAAAGTGTAACCAAACTATTATTAACTACACCAGCAACGTGCACTTTCATACATAGTAGCATATACGACTGTCCCCTGTTATTGTAATATTAACTACAGCGACATTTAATTTAGTAACAACATTTTTATCTGGATTTGTATTTGTAATGCTGTCTTTTTTAACCATTTCGTTTGCCACGAAAAGCTACATTTTAAAGATATCGTCTAAAGTTCGTTGAATTTTGAAATGTGATCTCGCTAAAAAGGTGATTCCTCTAGACTATAGTTTTGTCATACGCCTGTATTTATTGTTTTTCAATATTTGTAGTAATATATATAAGAAATTTAGGATATTGACAAATGTCAGTCTTGCATTCATGGCAGAATTTGACACAAAAAAATAGAGAAAAAACGTTGCTCAATATTGAGTAGGTGAAGCAGTGTTGTTTGTGTGTAAGATGTCTTTTACTTTAGCATAGGAATACTAAATCAATCGTTTCAGGGTAAAGGAAAATGTTGCTATGCATTAATTTAGAAATGAAACCTACACACTCTTATTTGTATTAAGTTGTGCCAAATATCATTTCAATAATTATAAATGTTCAAATTGTTTGTGTTGAAGAATTATTTTTCGCCAGTGCATTACAAAGTAATTTAATTTGTTCTTCCTTTTGTATTGAGATGTTTTTGTTGTATAGTTTTACACATCATACCAAGTTTGTTCCATCATTGTTTATGTCTTGTTTACATTTAAATTAATCCATATTATAATCAAGGTGGGCTTTTTTTTACAATCATGCATATTATTAAGAAGTATTCACATGCCTTAAACGGCGGTTGTTGATGTGTTACCGTAGTCTACGATTGATTTCGTCATATATCTCCGTCACAGTTTGAATGATTCATAATCATTATTATATTGTTCTAAAGTTGAAAGAGATACAATGTATGAAAGAATTATAACGGATTAGCATTAGCGGTTGTTAGGAGTTAGTTGCTTCTATTCAGCAGATGCCAGTATTTCCATAAGTAATATCTTAAATTGTAAAATGAACGTGTATATCAAAATGGCTGACAAACTTTTAGTATATAAAGTGAATTTTCACAAACGTTTGCCAAAAGAATGAATACATGATGAAACAAAGATCATTTCCTGGAGATAAATAACAAGAATGTCATTTTAAACAAGTCACAAATACATCGAAGTTATTTAATTACATTCATTACTATCTCCATCATCATATTCGAAAATCTGCAAAAGTTTTAAACGATTGTCAAATAAGTGCTTCAGTCATTTCCAGTGCTTTACCTATTAAGTTAATTTAGTTTATCCTGTGCTGTACACCTGTCAGCATCTGAACGCATCTGAACGCTATTGATATCTAGAACTCTGATAATGTCAAGGGGAAGCTCAGACAAATAACGGCATTGCCTTGCATTTAGTGTGAACGAGTTTGAATTATATGTGTTTTGTAAGCTTTGTCTTTAAATGATTACAAACTGATTGAATTGATAAATGTCATTCCAATCGGAACTATTTATTGTCTTGGTTATCCATTGTTGTCCATTGTTAAGTTTTCTGTGTAATTATGTTTCCTCAATGTATAGAGAAACAGGAACGTTTTGACTGAATAAGGTTAATTTTATATCACTGTTTCTACTTTTTTTTTTTACACATTTGTCATGTGTTTGGGAACAAATATCTAAACGATTATGTATAAAAAAAGGTGTATTGGTCTTCATGGTCTAAATTTAATACCTTGAATATTGTAAAAAGGGCTGGGTTTTTGGCCCTTCTTTTTGCATCTCGAGAAAAGCCTCTGTGATATGTTTATAGTGATATCCTTGTTTTGTATAAACCGTATTTTATTTTAGTGAATTACAATATATTTATAGATATATTTATGTATAATTTTAAATAAAGATTTATTTATCATTTGTATTAACTGCTGAACTTCAGTTTTTATGTCAATAAACACGTTTAACATTTATTTTGCTTTGGTTTGGTATATACCTGCATATAAAGGAGAGAAACAATATGGAACTAGGGTAGAATGTGAACAACGCAATCATTTTAAACGCACAGCGTTGGGCAAGTCCAGTGATAATATATACCACCATGTATTCCGGAAGAATAAGCGTCTCCTGCTTATCGACGACAACCACCTTAATATTAATCTAGGTCAACGGAATAGTAACAATTAATGCACAAGACACACCAATGAGCGATATCAAAGAAGCAGACTATTTTCCAATGAAATCATTGAGGCGACATTAAAAGTTGACCGATCTTCACCAACCTGTACCTCTCGAAACATGTTGTAAAATTGTTCGTCAGCATTCGACAACTGTCACGGAAATGGGTGATGTTCGTAGTCAGCCCTTCAATGTGAAATTAACCGTAAAATGTTAACAGCGTAAGTGGAGAAGTTGAGGTGTTACTATCAAGAAAAAGACGTTCACAATCGGTTAATCGACATTGTCACACAGTTTAGTTGTAAGTCGTCCCTGTTAAGAGCACCTACAATGCATGATCGACGTGATCAGTAAATTTGTTTTAAAAAGTCAACACGTCTATAACTTGACAAGAGGCAAATAACTACGTTGCTTTCACCTGAGATAAATTGTGTGACCCGAGTATCACAGTTAATTTCCACCAGATTTTATGGGAGAGACAGGGTGCAATTAGTATAAGTTAGTGATATCAGGTACACTGATAATATTAATTGTTTTTGACCGAACCAGGCTACAAACGTCTAGGGAGTATACAAAGCAGTCGACAGAAATCATAATTGTAAGGATACTTAATGCGTCCTGCTGCTGACACTACTCAACTTGCAAAGTCTAAAGGATGTCTAAGCCCACGCGACTATATTTGAAAAAGATAACTTTTCAGTTATCTTATACACAAGCCCTTTTCTTGGCACGATATCATAAGCTTTGAAGGAATATCTAAGACTGTGTTACTGTACCTATTTTAATGAGCTCTTCGGTTAGTTCTGCCTTATGTGAATAACAAGCCGGCCATGAGAGGGAAACGTTTTGTCTACATTGGTATGCCAATAGCCTGATGGAAAGGCTTGTCATCGGATTTACACAATATAAGTGACTTGCATAACTAGAGTTCACAATAAGAAATTATTTCCGTGACATTCGGGTGTTCTAGAAAAATCTTTTGCACTGCGCGATACATGCACTTCAATACAGCAAACATTAGGAAAAACTTATATTGAAAATAACTGTGAATCGGGTCAGTGACATACATTTGTAAATACTTGCTATGAAGCACAAACATAAATGGATCCGAATTGCATTCATCCCAGCATGAAATTTGAACAAATATCGTTCAATCCCTTTATACTATTTAGATAATTTTGTCATTAAATTAAAAAAACCCGACAAACAATGTTGATCAAACATGGATGGATTGGATGGATTGAGCGAAATAAGTAAAATCATACATAGACTACGGCTATTTTGGTTTCTATGCATGCTATGCATGCTATGGACCGATTGTTGACGCCATCATTATTATGACGTCATAATTGTTACGTTGGATACCACTGACCCTCCCTGGGCAATGGTTGTTCTATTAATTGATTAAGCATACACGATACATGCATTATTTTACTAAATGTTGAATAATAGTTAATTTAATTGAGTTTTCTATGAGATGAACAGATTCCAAAAATGGTAAATATAAGCAAGGAAAAATGAATTCCAACTGGACAAAGGCAAATCTAATATGAAGCGCTAGCGCTATCAGCTTATTATACAGTATAGCTTATACTGGACATCAAACTTCCGTTAAAATTATTTGTCAGTCTGTCAGCTTATTGTACAGTATAGTTAAATTATTTGTCAGTCTGTGTCAGCTTATTGTACAGTATAGCTAAATCATTTGTCAGTCTGTGTCAGCTTATTGTACAGTATAGCTAAATAATTTGTTAGTCTGTGCCAGCTTATTGTACAGTATAGCTTATACTGGACATAAAACTTCCTGTAAAATTATTTGTCAGTCTGTGTCTTGGTCGAAGAACCTTCATTTTGTGCACCAAAGGTGATTGCAAATCTGAGTAATATTTGGTTGAAATTTTCAAAATTTCATTAACTTACCCCGATTAAACTGTAAATGTTTTTTTTATCTTGTCAAGCAGTCTCCAAGCTACATAGAGAAGCTATGAAGACTCAGCGGCTTTGGTTGAAAAACAACATGTAGTAATGAAGCCAGCTGTATTGTTGGTTTGACCATTGAATTGTATATAAATACTTAATTCTTACCGATAAATACACTGGTATACCTAATTCTGGACTTGATTCTGTTAAAATGTTGATGATTTGTTAATTTGAAGATGAACTCTGTATTAAGTAAGATCATGCACATTAAAAAATCTCCATTATTGACCAATTATAACCTACAGAAATATGTGCTCTTCCTATTATTCCTTTGATAAATGGGTTGACATTCTGTTCTGTCAAAACATTAGCTACTCCTGGCTCACTTTGTATTATGTGCTCGTTTGAAATGAAGGATCAGGTTGTATCATTTGTAAAATGCCATGTCAAAGTCTAGAGAATAAAAAAAATATATATGTACACAGGTGTGTGCTATTATGAGATGTTTTGACTGTGTGTTTGTGTGTGTGTGCATGCATAGCTTGAGGTGACAGATGAATATCGAGAGAGATTATAACAGATGATACAGTCGATGAGTAAGTTGTAGAATGATTGACTACTGTTTGTGTTTGAGTAATTGTACAGTATTAACCCGGAGTGTTAAGAGATGTGTTCCATATAATGGACGACTGTATAGTTGTACACAGAGAGGACTCTTCTCCTGAGCTACATACCCTCGTCAGGTTACAGTGTCAAACATACCCATGTGATACTTTATACACAAGTTTCATCATACAATCTGAATGACTCTTATAAACCTATTTTATAAAATAGCCGGTTATTTCTAAATATTTACGATTTCATGGCAATACCACAAGGTAACCTTACCAAAGTTATTTGCGAGTTGTCCAGCTCATGAACAATGAAAACAAGTTGAGGTTACCTCCCCTTGATCCACAATTCTGATACGTTATTTGACAAAAAAAATGAAAATAAAAGTTCTCATACATGACTAAGTTTGAAATTTAAAGAAATATAATAATAAATGACAAAAGTCGAAAATAAACGCTACGTTACTTTTAAAATAAAATAAAACGCCACCTATCTTTATGGTAAGGAGTATCTGTCGTCTGCGAAATGAATGATAGCGACGATATAGGATTTGTTTTCCCGGTGATATGAATACCGATGAAATGGATACCAGCGAGGAAGACATTCTAAGTGTACTCAATATAAAAGGGATAGAGCTGATGGCGAGCTCCATAGGCATTTCGAAAGAAATTGAAGTGGAATACAGAGGGCGGCGTTGGACTGCCTGTCCCCTCCAGAAACGCCGGTGTCTGCGGTTACCCCAAAAATACCAAGGGGAGGTTTGACATTGCAACTGATGACGATCTCTCTCTGTATTTCGATGCCCACACTGGCCAATTCCACCTAAAAAAAAAAAAAAAAAAAAAAAAAAAAAACACCACTGCCTGGGGGATAAAGATATTTCAATGTAAGTTTGATTTGTATTGTAGAAGTTTGTTAATAGTGTCACATTGTATAAAAATCAATCAAAACACGTCAAATGTTACAATTTATAAAACGCAAACAAAAAACGGCTTAACCGTTACACAGCTGACTTTCTCACTTCTTATCTGGGGAATCACAGTCAAATTTAATTGTATTTTACAGACTGGAATATTGAGAAAACTGGGAAATCGGTCGACATGCAGCAAGTAGGCGTGCATGACCTGGCCGAGGAACTGAGGAGATTTATGTTGAAGCTAGGCCAAAGAGGGGAGCTCTGTACCACAGAAACTCATTGAAAAATATTCGGGGAGCAACAAACAGACATTAAGCTGATATGCATAGGAGCAATAACATCGTGAGAGATAAAGATTTCAGACATTTGAATGGAATACTTGGCGGGCTACTCAAGCACAGGGAAAGGTCAAACCAACTAACCATAAACCTGTTATTGAACCGTGTCACATAGAACAAATCGCCACTTACCTGGCCGCTGCTGATACCTCACCGGTGATTTATCCATTCACTTAGTGACTAGGGGGATGGAATTTGTATCACCAGCTTACCCCCATTTCGTTCACATTTCAACTTGATGAATCTTGAGAATATGTTACACTGGCACACACAACACAACAACAACAACAACAAAAAAGTAAGCGCGCTTCATGGACTTTGCCTTTGTCCAGTTGGTATTTATATTGTCTATGAATGCCAACTGAAAGCAGTTCAGTGCTTAAAACATTAACGGAGAGGCGTTATTCTTGACTGCCTAACGATGAACGTGTGACACACACATGCGACTGCATCTTAAAATTTGGTAAATATACAATTTGCCAAAAAATGACAAACACTGCACCATTCAGCTGTTTCAGTCTTCATGGACGATTGCATCGGTGATATACGGGGACAAACAGTTGGAAATCCAAATTGGTCTAAATTACTGTTGAAGCAGGAAGGAAGGCGCGCAAAAGCCCTTGTTTTATGAATTTTAGAGTAAGTAAAGTACGTACATTATGAATCGTGTCAGTATTCAAAAGAGATGCCTTTGGTCATCAAAGCTACGGTGCACATCGGGAACTATTAAAATGTGAAAATGTTCTGAGAATAAATTACATGAAGTTTCGTTGCTTCCACTGAATTTGCCTTGTCCAGTTTTGAATATGATTGACAACTATATAGATAGTTCAATATTTATACCGGAATACAAAATAAACAAGCAACAAATGATGACATGTATTTCTAGTCTGCCAGGTAAAACAGCTACCAAATCACACCATCACTGCTTATAGACTATACACGACCACTATCTCAAGCTGCCTGTGCGATGATGCTCTTCTACGGCATGTGGGCAGTGACGAATTTTTTAAAAAAAAATCGTCTTTTGAGGACGTGTTTTCTACATCTCGCATGGCCCCAGAATCATGATGCAATTTTAGACTATTGTAAAACAAAATTGTAAACCGCAAAGATAATTGTATTGCTGGTTAAAAGCTTTAAGATAAAACATTTTGATATGAAATAACCCAAGCATAACGTTTGCACTAGTCTTAGGTTTCAAAATGTGATTTTTGAGAAATATCTGAATATTTACCAATATTTATGTTTTTCTTGTATCGAGACAATCCTCTTAAAACCATCGAGAGTCTACATGTAATTGGATTACATGTAAGTTTTGAATATCAATAATTTTGAAAATATACAAGATTAATTATTTATTTAGTTCAACTGTCGGTACGCTAATCAAACTTTGAACAACTGGATACAAAAATGAGATGCACAAAAAAAATCGGACTCAAACACGTACAGATATACACAAACCAAGTTTATGAGTCTTCTTAATACTCTATGTACATAAGTTTGTTGTTTCCTTTTTAACGGGTTTGTCTCCAAGTTCACATTCACACACGTAATATACAGTACTTTGTATACTGGTTCTCCTACTATAGGAGGAAGATACCAAACAAGACAAGACAAGCTTATCTTTCTCATACCAAATTAGCTTTAAATGTTGTTTCATGACGTTTATGTCTCGGATCCTCAAATTTGTAACGTCAATAATTTTGATGACGCGTTAAATTGCGTGTGATTAAACTGAATTACAAACATTTCGCTCAAAAACCGTTCAGCCCCATACTATGTCGTCCTAACTTTATTTCACATCGCTCATTTCGCCCCAAGTATGACAACCATATCGCCCCAAAATTATTTATCGCCCCAATGCTACGATCCTTAATTGAACGATATCCGATCTTGTGAAAGTAGCGGTAATTATTTCACTTAAATATTAATGATTAGGAACCTCAAGACACAATTGGCATATGTTTTTTACATTAGTTTTTGTTTTAATGTTCATGTTATGGTTTTTTTAAATTTTAACTGCTTTGGTTAGTGATCAGTTTGCATGTTGATGAAAGAGATCGTCAGTCAGTTTGTAAAAAGTAAATGATGTGCCGAATGATATGCCAGCTATTTCAAATTTTCCACGATGAAGAACGAAAATGATAAAGTTGGTTTGAAATGTTTGTTTGCTTTTGCCGGTTGACTGGTAGTCATTCATCTGAAGATCATCACCAGGTGTGCAATAGACGAAAACATAAACAATAGTTTGATCGAAAACATAGGAAAGTGGGAATATATAGTGAAGGAAGGCAGGAAGGAGAGAAGAAAAGATGAAAGTAAGAAGGGAGAAAGTTTGAGTTTAGATGAGGCGTTGTAATTCTTGACAAGCTGTTCCACTGGATTACAGTCCGAGGATAGAAAGAAAATCTGGTTTAGTCTTTGGTGGTTCGGATCTGCCGGTACTAATGTTCACGGCCTCTGCTCTGAGATGAAGTGAGGCCGTGAACTTTCGGGTTGATGGCAAATATTCAATGTACATTTGTATGACAATTATTTATATGGTAAATTCCTGTCTGCCAAGAAAAAAGGCTGTTGAAAACAATGTCTTTAAAAAATAAACGGTAGAGTTTGCATGCATATAGTGATAACTTTGAAATAGCTTTGTACCTAGTTATATGACTTTGATGACAACAAAAGTAAGGGAACAGCTAAGGGAAATAGCCGGTACGTTTTAAATACATGCATTTTGCCTTGGACATGAATTATACATATGACGTCCTTGTTTTTTTAGATCGGAAAAGTAGCCATTTGGGGTAATTTCCGTAAACTGGCCAACCCATGTTTAATGCCTAATGACAATCTTACTTCAGAATTTGAGATGCTACGTACCATTTTGCGTTCGTTTCTAAAACAAAATTTCTTATTTTGTAGAAACTTTATTGCTAACAAATCGAAAAAGAACTCCGCATTCAGGGGAATTCCAAGGTAGAAATCACAAAACGATGTGCAGATTTGCCGAAAAATTGTGTACATGTACCAGTATAAAGAAAATACATCATGTCAAATAACAATCAGTTCTTCCGAATTATATTCATCCGCCATAAACTAACTATATAGAGCAACTTTCCTTATAGAAAACAATCAGAATCACATGGAATTGTCCTTACTGTGGTAAATTATACAATTATACCAAAGCACATTACTTAGTATACACTGCTGTAAGTTGATAAAATTGACTGAAATTAATTTCACACCGAAAAAGGTTCACGAGTTGCCTCCCTTTACCAAATTGAATCATCATTTCTCGGGCACATTTTTTCGCAGTATATGCTAACATAGCTTGGAAAAAAAATCTACTAGGCCATATAAACAATATCTCGTGTTCTGGGAACACCTTTTTATCTGATTGTTAACAAGTAAACGTTTTACTTGCTAATTATAAGTCTGAAAAGGCCTATACATGATTATCTGTGAACAACACGGTATAATATATGTTCCGTCGGACTAACATTTTCCAAAAGATTTTTCTTTATTTCTTTTCTTTTTATGATTGATACGGACGGTCCATATTAATCATAAAAAAGGAAATTAATAGAAATATATGATTGAAAAAAATACATGCAAGCATACATGTTTGCTACGCCACCGAGTGATAATATATGCGTGTCAAACACGTAAAATTTTACAACAATCACTTTATTTGATTTCATTACTTAACGCAAGGTAGGTTGGGAGTAAATCTTAAAATTAGTTAACTGATTATTACATAAGATCAATATACACATGTTTGTCTGTTTGTTTTCTAACTTCAATTGGGTATATGTAAAGAAGGAAACTGTGCACTATTTCTGGTGATTAAGAAAACTTATAGACAAAGGTATGAATTCAAAAGGTGTTTTTTTTTGAAGTTTTAAAGGTATTATTTAAAAGGGAAAACATATTTTTTGGTAAAATCGGCGATATATTACCGCCGCCACATATAAAAACGATACCTACACAATTTTGTCATCAGACCGCGTACTGTTAAAAAAAGTACTGTTGCTTGTTATAACAGTAAATCTGTTGTAGCAGAAGGACAGCCAATGGTCAGAGAAAAAATCATAGTCGGTCTATCCTGTCAATCAAAATAAAATTACTTATGCGGAAAAAAGTAGATTTATATGCATAAAGAATAATTACACACTCTTTTGCAACACACATAACATAATAGATTTTGCTTTTGTTTTCTATATACGGCACACATGTATATATATAGATATCATCTAAAATATACAAATACATGCCTAACTTAGATACTATAGATATGGTAAGTTATCGATCTACGGCACAAAAAGTATGTCTCAAACATCAAACGAATTGCACGAATCCTATCTTTTGAATTTCTTTCATTAAGAAAATTAAATAAAATGTAGATGTTTCACTTTAAAATGAGGGGTGCCAATTTGGGCCTTCTGGTGGCTATCACCGATAAGTTTTATTTTTGTATATATATATATATATATATTTACAAATTATAATGCGCTAGCGCGCATTATGATTTGTTTGCTTGCAAAGCTGTGTCATTCAAATAGATCATAAATACCATACAAAAACAGTTCAATGCTAAAATATACCTTGGGCTTATGCCATCATGAAATGACATAAAATTTAGAGTTAAATCATGAATTTAAGTGTTAAAGTTGGTTAGCACTATTTCTCGGAATGTGCAGGCAGGGTATTTTTTCATTTTTTTTCACACGAAGGTTCTCCATGGTCCCTTCTTGTGTATTTTGAATTTTGGGGATGATTGGAAAACCGAGATGGCCGACAGGTGGTCATCTTGAATTTTGGAGTAAAACTGTATTAGTGCTATTGCTCAAGAAGTATTGGAGGGATCAGGGACGTATAATGGAATATACTGTCCCTGGAGGGATCTTTCTCAAATTTCACATCAGGGTACCTCTTGGTTCCTTGTTACGCATATCAAATTTTCGGTCTGATCTGAAAACCAAAATGCTAAAAATTGGTCCTTAGTTGTGCACGTTAACTTTCGAGGTTGATCAAAAGACTGATTAAAATGGCGGACACGCAAACTGATCAAACAGATTAGAGAAAATTAAAGAAGAGAAAAGATCAAACTGACATAAAACTAATGAATTCGAAGATGGTGAGATGGTTGGCACGTATATAACACATATATGGCTTTATACGTCTCTGGTTGGCGCCAAGATCCCTCTGGGATATCTTGTTATGTCAACATAAATGTCATCTGAATGTGGCAGTATTATATTGTGACAAAGCCATACGATGGTAAATACATATATGTCAAATTCCATAAACATGCTAAAATGTTGGCTAGCATTGTTAATACGGATCACTGATTCCGTGCCCGGCTTCGGTTTTAAATTTACTAAGTATATTGACATGAGTTATCTCCCCTGTTTTATTGTGATGGAAGTTGTGCGATAAACAGACAACCATTGATTCGCTGCCTGTGACCTGTGCCGGGAGTTTGCGGTTCGGATTCATCTTCTTTGACTTTAAAATTACTGACCGGTCAAATGTTGCACTCGAGAAATGTTCCATGTCCATAAAAAACAACTATCAGTTCTTGATGGCCGTGTGTTGACACCGCCCATTAGTCGGCCTGTAAGTTTTGTCTAGTTCTCGAAACAATCTGTGCATTCTTTAATGATAATACTTGACAACATTGAAATTATTTAATTTAATTACTGTGCATCAATTGAACGTCATCATGCTAAGGTCGTGTCTTATCCTGATAGTTTGACGTCTGGACATCTATAAGTATAACCACCAATTATGGTTGCGTATTCTAAAATAAAAACCAAACAGTGGTTTGGTACATTTACAAACTAAAAGGATATCGCTCGTATGTTAGCTATATATAGCTTGTTGTGAACTGTGATATGCTCGAATGAAATTAGCCTGTTAAATGTGAACAAAAAAATAAAGGTACCTGCCTACCAACAAGTTAAATAATAATAATATTTATTCAGGTAAAAGGCAGACATTACCTTACATGTTTATCACATTTTGCAAATAGGACATAAATATATATATTATCACAGATGTTATTTATAAGTTATTTATGCCATAAAACTGGTAATCAGGCAGAGTGTTAAAAGCTGGATTGGATTGGATTAATAATTTAGGCCTTTATCTGGGATGACCCATCAAGCCATATTGTGGCATACTTCCAATGGGGTCCCTTAACTTAATTAAAGTACATAACTCATATTATTGTAATAGAACTCTAGATGTTTAGAATTTGAATGTTTGAAAAAACTGCAGGAGTTGACCCCGGAACCTTTACATTACAAATGTAAAGCCTACATGTACATCTTTACCAGTGTTGCCATACAGGGATTATAGATATATACAAGCACAGCATCAAAATGGGTGTCAAATTAAAGGGCCACACATAATAAACATAAAAGGGGAAGGTACATATATATATATTCTAACTTCTTAACCAAAACAGATCTTTTGGTTGCTTCAACCTCATTTATACATTTTACAAATGTATATAGAAAGGGATAAAATTAAAAAACAAAACAAAACAAAAACTGAATTGAACTCATCTATGCAATTATAACTGATGCAGTGGTATACTTTAGCTTAATTTAAAAAAAAACTGTTCCACATTGAAAATATTGGAGCAAAAAGGGCTTTCCGAACACACTATCATTAAAAAGTACCTAATCTATATGTTACAGTGTGTCGGATTGGTTTAAACACATGACCACAGGAGACAAAACATTGAGTCTCACCTTCACATAACCAAGTCTCCCTCACACGATCAAGACTCCCTTTTAAAAAAATTGTTTTGCTGTTGAGTATCTCTCGGAGTCGGAGCAGGGAGCGACACTTACACTAGTCCGCTAGTCCTGGACTAGTAGTTTTTAGTGTCTAACCCTACAGAGCCTCTCAGTTAGGTCCTGAATGTCTGATGGTCTTGAATTCGAATGTGTGATGGTCTTGGATGTCTGATGGTCTGGATTGTCTGATGGTCTGGAATGTCTGATGGTCTGGATTGTCTGATGGTCTTGAATTCGAATGTCTGATGGTCTGGAATGTCTTATGGTCTGGAATTCGAATGTCTGATGGTCTTGGATTGTCTGATGGTCTGGAATGTCTGATGGTCTTGGATGTCTGATGGTCTGGATTGTCTGATGGTCTGGATTGTCTGATGGTCTTGAATTCGAATGTCTGATGGTCTGGAATTTGAATGTCTGATGGTCTTGGATTGTCTGATGGTCTGGAATGTCTGATGGTCTGGAATTCATTCGAATGTCTGATGGTCTGGAATTCGAATGTCTGATGGTCTTGGATTGTCTGATGTTCTGGAATGTCTGATGTTCTGGAATGTCTGATGGTCTGGAATGTCTGATGGTCTGGATTGTCTGATGGTCTTGAATTTGAATGTCTGATGGTCTTGGATGTCTGATGGTCTGGAATGTCTGATGGTCTGGAATTTCTGATGGTCTTGGATGTCTGATGGTCTTGAATTCGAATTTGACTGCCAGAACAATAAATGATGACTGCAAGCTTAAGTGATCCTGGTAATGTGTACCATTGAGTCCTTGTTCCTTTTCGAAAAAATAACATATTTTTTCTCAAGGGGGTTGGCAACACGATGGTGATTTAAATGATCATCTATAAACAAGATTCTCTCATGTTGTCAGGAGGCACAGTAGTCTAGTGGTAGGATGCCGGGCTCGTGCCAGAAGGGTGGCGGGTTCGTGTCATGTCACGGCACTGTGGTGTATCTGTGGACAAGATACTTTACTCAGGGATTGATCTAGACTGATTTTACTACCGAAATTCGGTAGTATTCCCCAACGACTGTGTTTTCCCCTTTGAATAAAAAACAAATTCCCCATCAAGAAAAATTCCACATAAGAAGGAGAAAGTTTCCCCAAAATAGGGGAAAATAAATATAATTGTCAATAAAATTGATTAAATCATTGTAACATAAAAAAAAACACCTCACAATACTGTTTATCTTGTATCTGGGATCACTTTTCATCCGAAAGCCCCCGCACCCCCCATCTCGTGCTCTTTCCCCGGCTCCAGCCTGTGGCAGTCATTCGGAGGCCTTCAGCCTTAAGGCCTGGCGACTGGATATTCCCCTCATTTCAAAATGGGTAGTGTTCCCCAAATCCTAGATTAGCCCCTGTTACTGATCTGCTTGTTCCAGTCTACTCAGCTGTAAATGAGTATGTGGTTGGGCAGTGCTAGAATTGTAGAATGCTAACTGTGAGCGCCGAAATGGCAGCACCAACTGTATGCTCCCCAGGGAGTTGAGAAAGATATTGGCTGGTTGCAAAGGCTCTATAATTACATATTTAACCACGGATAATAATTTGTGAACCACTTTGAGACGACCTACGAACTAGGTTGTGATAAAGTGGTAAAAACAACCTCAAATTATTATTATTATTAAAATATTTGTTGCCCTTGTAGCCTAGAGAAAAATATATACCCTGGTAATACTGATATCAGAGAAACAAATATTCATATATCCTTTGCTTCATATATCAAAGGTACTGGGAATTTTTTCAGATATATTGGAAGGATTTTTCTTTGGTAAGTGCCAACCAGCAGTTTGTAATTACTTTGTATTAAAATGGCAATTAAAACTAGAATGCAGTATTTTAAATGAATTTTTGTGCAAGCCAAAACAATAATTTTCAGAAGTCTCAAAGTTTGCTCTGCAAAAATTACCATGCTAAAATATAGAATATTGGCAGTATTTTTGATGAAGTAATACAAAAAACCCAGATTTACAAGATTCTGTATTCATGTGTATAATAACCTACATGTACATGGATGCATGACCAATTCTCTAATAGATCCAAGCACAGTTTTGAGCATTCAAGAAGTAAAGGATACATGTTACACACATACAATGTATCTTAAACTTACACATTATAACCATGATTATACCCTCAGAAGTTAGGTTGGAGGTATACTAGAATCATTTTCCTTGTCTGTTTGTCCGGAGAAGATGATAAAAACTTGGAAGGACAACTCCTCCTGAACTAACTTAACTAAACGTATTCGACAAAACTTTATCGTAGACCTGTGTCAACCTCTAAAACCTCAAATGTCCAATGAGGGAGAATTAAAGTGCATGAAACGCCATTGAAACTGCTTTGCTCTATCTTTTCCCTTTTTATGCATCAAAATAACTCCAAAAAGCATTAACTTGATTCAGAAACACCTATTATGATCATTACCCCCCCCCCCTGCACAGTAACTAGGAGATCATTTGACTGCAGGATGTTGTAGATTTTGAGTTTGTGTGATTGGTAAATTTTGGTCAAAATGAGGGAGTCTTCCTCCTAATGAGGATGGGTTGACAGCTATGCTTTCTATGCATGGTCAGTACTGTACAATTCATATAGTTGCACACCTGACGTTAATATTTTTATTTCAACACTTTTTCCCCATATTGCCTATTATTAAATTGGAATTTCAATACCTGTACATGTCCACAGACATATTTTCCAAAACTAAACGTGTGACAAATTACAGGAAAACTTTCTGGGAGTGATACACATGGAATATACTTTACATCTATCGGCCAACTTTTAATTTTTTGGGATTAAAGATGTCAGCCATGGCCTCTAATTTATAATTAGCTGAGACAATAACATTTATTACTCAAGCTCTATGGGGCCATTTTATTTTTATTTTATTGGGCAAACCATAGGAAATGAATTGTATAAATAACAAGGTCAGTATTCAAGACGGCCCCTATGGCCTGAAATTTGCTGAGACATTAAAAACTTCAATTGTCAAATGGGCAGGAAAGGAAAAATGCACAGCCAGACCGGGATTCAACCTTTGGACCTCCAAACTCTGGATGAATGCTCTGATCAGTTAAGCTATTTAGTTTGAATGATAAGTTATTAATAAACAGTAATTAATGGATTTAATATATTTTTCATGTTTTCATATGTTGGGTTGATATGATTTACCGTAGCAGGTGCAACCCAATTCTTGAAAAGTGAAAAATATATACCGTATCTATCCATTTTGGGTATAAGCGGATCTAATAAAAGGGGAATGGTCCACATTACAGTTAGTTTGAATGATAAGTAATTAACAACCAGTAATTAATGCATTTAAAATATTGTTTCATGTTTTCATATATTGGTACGCTTCAGAGCTATCTATACCTTGTCGCCAGCGTTCGACAGAGTACAGGTCTGCAACATTAGTATACATATACATATATATGACTTCTGGATACAGTTCTAGTTTGTTTTTGGGTTATCTCCCTTTCAATGCTTTCAAATCTGTCTTCAATTTTTCCAAAAAATGAAATCAGATTTTTTTTTATTATTGATTTCTTTTGGAAAGTAGTATATATCAATGCTGGATAGAAATGTATATGTTGCTGATGATATATCATTTATTGTAAATATTTATGTGATTTTTAACATATTTGACTGTTTTTCTTTTTTTCAGGGCAACAGGACCTCAAGCTCATTTGCCATGAACCAGCTGGGAAGCTAAGAGTTGTCTGATTGACATGATGTTACTGACGGTATGTGAAAAGCATTTCAGTGATTGACAGCTGGAAATCTGAGTGACGTGATGGCACTGACAGTATCTGACAACAGCTTTACTGGCTCTCTGGAGGGCTCCGACAGCAATGAGTCGGAGAGAAGTGAGTCGTATGCGATGTACCTCACTGTTGGAGATGGAGGCTACGGGGTTTCCACCGCAATGTTGGGAACCATTGATCCAGGTGAGGACGCTGACACCGAGGATGAAGGCCAAGTCAGTAATGCAAGCTTTCGTAAAGAACAGGAAATCGAAAAGGAAGCCAATGTCAATACTTCTAACAGACCATGTAAAGAAACCTCTGAAAAGTCATCTGAAGGTAACCCTTTACAATTGCCAGATACATCAGATGCCCAAACTTTCGTCAGTAGTATGCCGTGCACTGACACTACAAACGTTCTCCCGTCAGGTGGTGTTGTGGATGATACACATCTCAGTGATTCTGGTGATAATTCTAGTGACACAGAAAACTACAGCTTAAATTCGGATGATAATGAACCAACAAACGACATGGAGTTGGACGACGACTTTGATGGACATTCCGCCGATGATCAACAAGTAAACCCCGATGGATGTATTAAGAACTTAAGTGTTGCTATAAAGACTGAACCAGAATCTCCTGTCGACTCGGATTCATCAACAGAGGATCAATCTGTCAATACTACATCTCCAGGTAAAGATGTTCACTCAGATTTTTCACCGTCAAAAGCATTTTCACTTCGGTTAAATCTCTTCCAAAACAAGCCAGTTAATGAAAGACAAAACATTGATTTCCAGACGTTAGACAACGTCATCGCTGCTGCAGTAAGTAAGACCTACAACAAAGAGACTGACGTGAACGGTAGCGAGCCTACACAAAGTAAACAAACACCTAAAGTTACTGACGCTATCCCCAAAAAAGCAAAGCCAGTTGAAGAGACGAGGTCTGGGGTTGTCGTTGTGGACGTGCCAATACATATAGAAGGAAAGCTATTTCATAGCTGTAGTATTTGTCACAAAATGTTTAAAACACCCAAGGAGCTGCGTGTACATTCTCGGGTCCACACTAAGGAGAAACCATATGCATGTTATGTTTGTGGTAAGGCATTCCGACAACAGGCACACTTAAATAGTCATTACAAAATCCACAGTGGAGAGAAGCCGTACTCATGTAATCTTTGTTCGTTGTCTTTTACCGAGAACTCAAGTCTAAAACGACACATTCGTATACATTTAGGTATTAAACCTTACAAGTGTGATATATGTGATGATGCCTTTGTCACGTCTTACCTGTTAAAGACACATAAGACAAGACGACATGAAGAAAAGCAAAATCGCGCTACATTTACTTGTGATAGATGTCCAAAGGTTTACACCAGCAAGGAGACATTCAACAAGCATCTGAGAAGCCACGATCCAGACACTCGAATCTCTTGTTCTTACTGTGGCCAAGTGTGCCTGACAAGCTCCCATCTGAAACGCCATATTAACGTTCATACAAGAACGGACTTGTGTAACCTCCAAACCAAAGATAAACCTTTTGAATGTGGAATATGCCAAAAGAAATATTTCAACAAGAAGCACTTGGAACTACATGTAGTTCGCCATACTCAGACAGAGTATTTCTCATGCGATACTTGTGATAAAGCATTTGACACTCGTTACAAATGGAAAAGACATGTTCGGCGTTCGCACTTTGAGAAAAATGGCGAAAGAACAAATGAGCCGAAGCTGTTCAGATGTCTTCTGTGTAGCAAGGTGTTTAGAACTAATGAAAATCTTGAATCTCATATCAAACGTGTGCATGATAAACCCATGATATACAACTGTGATTTGTGTGAAAGGACATTCTTGAGAAGAGACGCAATGCTTAATCATAAGGAAAGCCACTTAGGACAGACATTTCAGTGTTCCCTTTGTGACAGAAATTACTCCACTTCCATGACGCTCAAATCACACATGCGCAAGAAACATGGTAAAAAAGAAGGCCGACGACCCACAGGAAAGACAGTCTCTGAGATAATATGCGATTTCTGTCACCGAGCATTTTGCAATAAAGCTTCCCTTAAAGAGCACGTGAGAACACGACACTCGGACAACATTCAGCTGTTTACATGTTCCCTCTGTCAAATGAAATTCACGCGAAGAAACTCCCTACAGAGACATATGAAGAAATCCTGTCGCATGCTGAGCCCAGATCAACAGAACCCTGATATGGCACATGAATCGAGTGACAACGACGCCAGCACCAGCCCAGATATGACAAATCATAGTGTGGATATGGATGCTGACCCGGATTTGGCTGCCAGAGGCACCGACATGGATATGAGTTTAAGCACGGACATCATGTCGCCAAGTGCTGAGGATTCCGATGATGATGGAGGTAGTGATACAAACGTTGAGCAGGACTACGTCTACTCGCAACAGGAGGACATCGATACAACCTGTCCTCAGCCAGATTCTAGGACGCTTGTCTCAAAAATAACTTGCAATAATGACCAGCATCAGGAAGATCAATTAAGTTGTGATGAACATGTGACAGAAGGCAAGCCCATTTTTAGTACAATTCACAGTGCTAACATACAGCAACAGGAGAACATCTCTAGCACTACTGTTCACCATGGTAATATACAGCAAGTCAATCAAAACGATTCCGGTCCAGAATTGCCACAACGGGGTAAGGCAAGTGACTGTTTGTCAGAGAGTCCACACTCTAGTCCTAGTCAAGACAAACACCCTGATGTCCCAAATTCACCGGAACCAGGCATAAATGATGGAAATTCCTCACCATGAGATTGAACTTTCTAGAGATACTGTAAACATACTGATTGTAGCGGTAGTCTTATTTTAGCACATTTCACGCTTTGGAATAGCTCAATGTAGGCGCCAATTGAACTTGCTGTATATTGTTCTCTTATGACTATATATTGTTCTTGTGCCAATTCCTCAATGTACTAATCTGTTAAAATGTGTTCTTGCGCTAAAATTCGAGTCCGCTAACATAAGACTATTTACAGTACACACATGTTCATTGAAGATTTGTAACATTTAGTTGAATATATTTACTTAAAGACCAGTCTAGTATATATTGGTTTAGATTGTTTTCTGTAGTCCTGACATGTGATATGTTGTACATTAGATAACGTTTTGTAGTAACATCTTCGACTCTTCAAACCAAAATTTCATGTTGAGATCTTGACTCAAGTGATAAATATGATATTGTAAACTTTTGTGTAAATATCAATAAATGTATAACTTTGATTGATAGATTTAGATATATAATATACAATTTTGTAAATAAATGTATATTAATATTTGTGTATATATTATTACATGTACAATTGTATGAAGAATAACCTTGATGGTTTTGATATTTGACATACATTCAAATATTGTCCAAGAGTATTTTTGGGTGTTTGTAGAGGCCTTACTTTACGAGACTTTAGGATTGACCTTCATTTCGACGACATATACGGTAGTATGAAGGCAGGGGACAACAATCATATTCTTTATGGAGCTCTAACAACTGCGTTCATGCTACCATATATGCCGTCAAAATGAAGGTCAATACTTATATTTACATCATAAAAAAGCGGGTTGCTATGATGGTAACTACGGTAGCCATGGTTGCTAGGATATTGTATACGTAGTTCCAGTGAATCAAGAAAAAACAAATTCGTATTTAAATTTGAATTAAAAAGGACGTTATCAGAAAAAAAGTGAATTATGCTCTAATTATCATAATCATTTGAAGATTCAAAAGGACGTTTTATATTTTATAAACATTCTGAATGAAGATCATTTGAAAATTTGAATTCAAATTTAATTTTAATTTAAATGCATGGATTGAACAACCACATTAATTACAAATTGCATTTGTAAGCTTGTTTGATAAAACAAATTATGTGACTGTATTGGAAACTCTAAAACAATATTTTAAACTATTCTGTTAAAATTAGGTGAGTGATTGTAAGACCCATTATTTTTAGGCCTCATGCTTTTTTGTTACATAAAGACAATTATAGCAAAAGAAATGTTCTTACTGAAATTTTTCACAAGTTCCTTAAAGAATACAAAAACAGCCATGTTGTCGGACATTTAATTACTTATTTTATAGTTTAGTTATCAACAATAGTAACCAAAGGGAATGGTCAGCTCAGTGGCCAAGTGGTTAAGGCGTCTGACATTCTTCTACCACTAGCCCTCGACCACTGGGTCGCGGGTTCGAGACCTACCTGGGACAGCTGCCGGGTACTGGTCGTAGGTTGGTGGTTTTCTCCGGGAACTCCTGCTTTCCTCCATCACTAAAACCTGGCACATCCTTAAGTGACCATAGCTGTTGATAGGACGTAAAACATAAACAAACTGTGTTTAACAGCATAAGTTGAAAATAAGCATTACATCATCCATTGTAGATTTTTTTTATTTTTTTTTTATTCTGGAAATGGAAAAAAAAAATGTAATATTTTTTGGGTTACATTTTTTTTTTTTATAAATGGATGATGTATACATACATGTACCAGTATACTTTAGCACTTAACATGAGGTCAGATTATATCCATGAAGGAAACTTGGGCTATTACTTCAACCAGTAAACTTCAGTACTAAAGAATAGGTCTGAATTGTATCAACAAAGATATATTGGGTTTTTATCAGTTTACTACCATACTAAAAAAATTGAGAAGTTGTACCAAAAGCGAGAACAGAGAATATACTGTATTACCAGTAAAATACTAGCCTGGTCAGATATGTAACTCCAGTATATATGATCTCCTGTTACATCGTGTATTTCTGTGTTTATGATTATTGTCGTAAATGTTTTCTTTTGTCTTCATGACTATATAGTTATATACGATTTTAATAAGTTAAATAAGGAGAAACAAATATACTCAGAAATGTTCTGATACAAGTTGGGCTTGATTTGGTATTGCAATTTGTAATTTACACTACAGAGAAACAAATTCTGAATGTATTATGGTATATATAATTGTAATGAATCAGATGTGTTGTTGTCATTTGTAGGAAGTCGCTATTAATGGAAGAAATTGCTCTAATTCTTACTAGCTAACATAAATGTAGATTGATTGGAATAGTGAAAACGTGATATGTAGCGTGGAAGCACGATCGCAGAAACATAAAAAAATCAGCATCGACAAACACATGTGGAATAATGTTCAGATAAGTGATATTTTACGATATGATGGATGCATTCTTTAGCTTTGTATTGAAGAAAAATATTATTTTGATATTGCAATATAATATTACATACATATTTTGAAATGCATAGATTGATTGTCTTTGTTGGAAATAAGCAAAATATGAAAATATATGGTATACTGTAAGAACTTGTGACATGTAAAAGACTTGTGTATAATGTTCTCTAAAGATTGAACCTACCAACGGTTTATGAAAAATGTCTTGTAAAATATATAGAGGAAGTGTCATTTCATGATGTATGATAACAGGCCGAATGATGGAGCTTTTGCCATCTGGTATCATCTATTGTAATACAACCCCCCCCCCCCCCCCCCCCTCTCCCCCATATTTTTTCATATATAGAAACTTTATTTATTATGAAACAAGGTATTTCAACTTATATATATCACTCTTGTTGGGCTGGATATTATATTAGCGCTATATTTTTTTCATAATTGTTGTAAAATAAATAAAAATTATATATAATGAATCTAATAAAAAAAAAAATTGCAGTAGATTATGCAAGATGGCAAAAGCTCCAAATGTGAGAGGAAGCGCAGTACCCGAAGAAAACCCATGTGGCAGGGCAGGTGAACCCATCTCTTTCTTGTCCTATCTGGGAATCCAACCCTGACCGCCTTGGTGAGAGGCCAGTGTGCAACCCAATCACCTGATTCTTATAAACATTACAGTTACAACAGATCTGATCAACGTAAAATCAATATTTTGCCGACACATTGTGGTTTTTTCTTACTATGAGTCCTTTCCTCAGAGGTCTTACACAGGTTTAAAAATTAAATAAAAAATGTTAAGAATATAAAGAATTTTCAAAAATTGATTCCATTGATACATTCTTGAATGTGTTAATATTAAAAGGGACCAAAGCTTTTGTGGATCAATCGATACGTATATTTAAACCCGGAATATGGGTCTAGGTTCTATACACAGATAAAGGGATATTGTTCTTTGCAACAAACAAATCAGGAAAATAAATATTATGTCGCATAGATTAGCTACAAGGTGGAGTATTGGGCACATGAATTGATCTCTGTCCCCGGTACAATAGGTCCTAATATTTATACTTTTGAATTGGGGAATGTAGCAAAAGGCACAGAGTTGTATAAATCTTCGGATTTTTTTTTCATTTAAAAGGTTTCATGTAATAAGTATATCTACCGAACCTGTCTGAAATCAAACAAACTTTTTTAATGAAGATTTATGGACAATATCGTGTAGTGTATATGCTAAACTATGGTCACTGCGGCCATATTGCTTTTATAGACCTATACTTAAAACGAAGTGTGTTGATGTATATACGAATAAATACAGATGCGTTCTGTAAAGTATCATGTGTCGTTGCTGTTTTCTTTATATTTGGCTGGCTTGAAGGACAACAACCACCAGTACATCAAATAAACGAAGACATGTTCCACTTCTCAAGAATGGTCAGAGGAATGTTGACTAAGCCTTAACGGGTGTTTTGTTTTGTTTTTCGGTCGAATTGAATTCCACATTGGCAACAAAGGCCTTTTTAATGGCTAACACATACTCAACTTCTCTTGAATAAACATGCCTGTTTTTACCAAACATACAAACTCTAGGAAGATGATTCTTACTATCTGTTTCATGTGGGTTTATTGAAATTGTTTGACCATCATGGTGTCCAAAATAATTGGAAATATTTTCGACTATTACTCCAGATAACAGCACGAGAATACTGAAATGTCATCAAAACTGTAATTCGAGCTCAAAATTGGTAAAACTAGGTCAAAATGTGAAAAAAAGAAAGATTATTATAGGGGCCCCTTGGAAAAGTACGAGGCAAATAAGACCAGGCGCTCCGTAAGAGTAAACGACTTTCCGTAATTCGAACTCAAACTTGTTAAAACTATGTCAAAATATGAAACAAAAAAAAAGACTATTATAGGGCACAAGTACAAGGAAAATAAGACCAGGTGTTCCGGAAGAGTAAGCGACTTTGTTATCAAAGACACCTGACATGTAATTCAAATCAAAGTAATATCACGTCCACATACAGAGAAGCCGAAGTATTGACAACAAAACATGACACACTAACGAGCATAACAAACAATATTGACTTTAAGCATATTTCCCAATGAGATCATCATGGCAGCCATATAAAACCTTTCAGAAATTGCATCTACATCAGAGATCACATCAAGGTAGCTATTGGGCAAAAGGTCCTGTTGTTACTTAAGTTAAACAATCACATTTCAGTGTCTACCTAAGCCTTTCTTATTATTTTGAAACAAGAAAAATTAAAGGTCGAAACCCTATCGCTATAAAAGTCTTGACTACCTATCTACATTTGGAGCCGAAAGTGGAAACGTTCTCAATATCATTGAGAGAGGATTCAGTTTTAAGGAGCTTTTATTTCTAAAGCCGGATACAGAACAACACATTATTACGGATAAATGTTGAAGAGGAAATTCACATTCCTAACAAACACAAAAAATTAAACAATTAAATGTGCGACTTTGAAAATGTGTTGGATAGTTATCCTTCGTTTGAGTAATAAAATTAATCAGTACTTTTCTAATTTCTGAAATTCAGTTCGTTAGGGGATTTTCAGCACCTCTCCTTTTGTTTCGACAGTATTTGGATTTCAACCGTTTTGTCCCAAGCATCACCGATGAGTCATAGAAGGACGAATCACCTGAATGAACTGTGTAATTCGTTTTTAGCTAACTGTATCTATTGTCAAATTGGTGTCTGTAACGTTCATGTTTCTAGCAAAGTTATAGACTGCTGATGGATTTCTTGGTCCACGAGATTAGTCGTAAACTTGATAGCTACAGTTATCTCTTTTGAATAGTGGCACGAATAATCATAGTATACACACTTTAAGTCATTATTATTATGAAACTAGCTTGTTATCTATGTTGTTTTTAAGATTCATATAATGATGAGGTTGTATGCACCCCATCCCCTGTTTGTTTCGACAGTACTGTAGACTAGACACAATTTCATTCTTGTTTTGCCCGTAGGATTACTGATGTGTACTAAAAGTACGAAACAGCTATATGGTAC